GAAGACCGTAATTCCGTCATTAACGCCCGATAGCGGATGTCCGGAGCAGTCTCTCGATCCAGAGACGTTGACGCTTGACTCTTTGATCCAAGTCCGACGAGCTTGGGACTCGTACATTGTTTTCCCACAGACACCAGGAGCTTCTACCATCCCTCCAGTACGCAAATGCATTCAACTGACCTTCCTGACACATTTGTCTGAACTAACTAGCCCAATTATTGTCTTCTCTTAACAGCACTTTGTGCCTCCACCACCCTCACCGTCAGCTCAGTGGGCAGTGTACGCTCGTATCAGCTAATAGAAATCTAAGTTAATACCAGCAAAGATCAACGGAAGGAAAGTACAGGAATGCACGATGCAGCTCTATTGCTTTCCTAGCGACAACGCCGTTTTCTAAGCTCGACGCGTGTACGCCTATTTACGCAGAGAGTTCAGCAACTTCGTCACGCAGCGCTTGTTCAGTCTTGAGCTTCTGCAACTGATCGTCGTTCAGCGAGTCGCCCGCCTCCTTCTTGGCCTTAATCGCATCGATCTGCTTGAGTTTCTTGAGCAATCCCTTGACCTTCTTGGCTTTCTCTTCAGGCGTCATCTCCGCCGGACTCGGCTTTGCCGGTTCCTCCTTTGCAGGCGCAGCGCCAGAAACCTTAGCAAGGGCCTCCTCCACAGCAGCTCTGGCTTCAGCAGCCTCTTGCGCCTTCTTCTTGCGTGCGCTCTTGCTCAGTTTCTTAGGCGCCGCAGCCGCTCCCATGCCAGGAATCGGGCGAGGCGCAGCACCAGGAATGGAAGAAGCAGCGCGAGGAGCGGCGTACTTGTTGCGGTCGAGCTTCCGTGAGCCTCCCTCCTCCTTGCGCATCATAGCAGCCAGCGCTCCCGTCGAGTTGGGTGGACGGTAAGCCTGTGGCTTCGGCGCAGCCTTCGGGGCCTCAGAGGAGCCGAAACCCGCAGCTTCACCCTTCCGACGCGGAGACTGAGGACGGTTCGGGTACGTATCCTGCGCTGCCGGGCGGAACTTGAGGTCGTACAGCTCACCACGCTCTTCCTGGTGGATAGGACCAGTGCCATCGTAACGGAAAATCTTGAAGCCGTTGTCCACGCGCAGACGCGGGAAAGTCGTGGCCGTGGCGAAGTAGCGGCTGTCAGGAGACCAAGAGAAGGTAGTGGCCGAGTTGGACGTCGCCGAGCCCATTTTCTTGAGCTTGTTGCGCTCCCAGAAGTCCATATCACCGCGAAGATTGCCGAATCCAGCGAGACACAGGAAGCGACCGTGGGGACTCCAGCTAACGTGGTTACGAGGCGCCGCACCGAACTCAAAGACGGGCAGCGCCTTGTTGTCGTAAAGCGTGGCGTGCGCAGGCATCGCACCAGCAATCACCACGAAGCCGCGACCAGTGGGGTCCCAGGCCACGTCGTGCACTGTGCCCTCCTTTGTGAGCGGCACAATGCAGTCATACTCACCGTCGCTCTGCATAAAGAAGAGCCCAGTTTCACCGTAGTATGACTTGCCAGACGTATCGATGTCCGTGCGTGTCTCAATAATCAGTGCGCTACCAGTAGGTGACCATTTAAGCGTCACGTCCTGAGCCTTGTAGAAACTCTTGGTCGCCGTAGGAGCGTCCAGGCTGTTCGGGAACTGGTAGATCTTGACACTCGCAGGCTTGCCCTTCTTTTCAGGCACGAACAACGCCACCTTGTACGGAGCACTACCAGGAGCCACACTGAAGTTCGCCACGTTCTACAACAAGCATCATCATCAGCTTGTGCAATTAACTGCACTTTATCTGGTTAAACATACCGGGAGGTTGATTTGGCCAATCGACCCTGAGCCAATGTCGCGACCGTTGTAGAGCACCACGCCGTTCGCGCTCTGACGCGCACAGATCGTCTCATCCGACGACCACTGGAGTGGCGGCCATTTCTATCCATTATTGCAAAGCAACGTCAGTTTAATACTCTAACAACACCATACAGTAATGCCACGTACGTCACGAGTGTAAGACTTGTGGTTGAAGCGCGCGACCTCCTTGCCAGTGGCAGCATCCCATACAATGAGATTGCCGAGGTCCGAGTCTTTTTGAGGTCGCTGCCACGTGAGCAAATGCGAGCCCAGAGGAGACCAGGACACAGCGTGGACGCCAGCATTGGCCACCTCCGTCACCACCGCGCCCGTGTCCGCGTCGCGCACCGTGAAGCCTGAGGTGGTGCGTACAAGTACTACGTGCTTGCCGTCCTCCGTGAACTCCATTAGGTCGGCGCTGCCTGGTGCGTCGAAGCTCTCATCGCACTCTATCCTGACCTCGTCCTTGCTGGAGGACGGTGGGCCCCAAATGGCTTCGATGCCGCCCTTGCCACGTAGGAAGAACTTAGTGCGCGGCACATTGCCCACGTCGTCTTTAGCTGTGATACATACAGAGTAGAAAGGTTCAGTGGGAGCATGAGGACTAGGAAGGCTGTCTGAAGCGTACGAACCTGTCGCCATGGTTGAGGTTGCTTTGCGTGGTGTGGCTCCTGTGTTGGTATGCACACCTCAGTTTATAACCAGCGAGTGACCAATCAAATCCTGGTTAGATATCACCTGGGTTCGAAAATTGGGTTTTGGGTATAACAAAACAACATCACCCATGTCATGGGTCTTATTAAAAATAGAGCAAGCACCCGACATACCTATAGCAGATATGGCAGGTTTTATCAACCTGTATGTCAACTTAATTTGTCTTGCCCCACCACAAATCTAGTAAGAGGAGGTACCCTGGTCGGTGCACAGTGTCCCCTCCGCAAGAAGATACTAAAGTTAATTAGCGGTTTTATGTATTGCGGCAATTTCAATTGGACTAAAATCTTGCTGAATCTTTCCAGATTCTGCTTGAAGCTCAGCACTTCCCCTTTAGAGACGTTAACGAACAACATGCACGAGGAGGACGATGACTTCGACGTGCTGCTGCTATTGACCGCCGCACACTCGCGGCGCGAAGCTTGTTTGAGCAGTGTCCGCCGTGAAGTGCACCAGCAGATGATAGAGGGCGCGTGGCGCGCTGCAATGCGCACACGTCACTACTTGACGGTGTCATGCTTGGATGTACCCTGCGTGGCCGCGTGGATGGCCCTTTACAAGAACGGCTTTGACTCAAACTTTCTGAATGCTACTAGTCTGACGAGGTAAGTTACGAATTTTTGGTGTGTTATCGGGCTAACTATATACTGTCACGTACTACACAGAGCTGCTTTCAAGCACTTACTGCGCCGGTTTGCGCGCTACTACTACATCCCTCCGGCCAGAAGCAGAGGCAAGCCGCCAAAACTGC